GGCATCAGGTTAGAAACCAAGAGACTCAGAGTTCTGGTCCTGCTTTAGGCATCAAACCAGCTAAGTGACCTTGGGCCAGTCACTCTTTCTCAGCCTTAGGAAGTAGGCAATGGCAAATCATTTCTGAAACCTTGCCAAGAAAACAGCAGGGACTTGTCCAAACAGCCACCAGGAGTCAACACTAATTCGAAGGGACAAAAAAAAAGTCTGTATGTACAATATTGATATGCACACATATTGAAAAATGAAGCAGATATACTTTTGTAGTTTGAAATGTATTGATTAGAAAACTGACAGAATAGCAGATTAATGACTACAGTTTACCACATTATATTACTATAATAAGGTCAATAAAATGCAGCGATTTTTGCAGCAAGGCCATTCTCTGAATTGAAGATTTAAGCTTTATAGCACTTTTCAGGTACATGCCCTTATAACTTTTTATAATTTTTCTTTTGATGTAAGATCAATATTCTTCCTATATTATAGAAGGGAAACTGAGTGTGATCTGTACAAGTCAGCTCAGCTGGAACAAATTCAGTGTTTTTCTGTTGGATTATATTTTACATGTTTGATGTGTGCATAAGAATAAAAAGCAGCTAGAAAGTCAAACAAAATGTCATATTTCTTCAACATATGGTTTTCACTAGTGATTAGTTACTGCTGACAGTTTCAACATCAATAGGATATAAAGAAAAGAAATCCATCCATTTAAGAGATTTAGTACAATAATTGCATTACGTGATATAATTAAAAATGATTACCATCATTTTCCGTAAAAAAAAAGAAGTGGCATTTGAATGTCTAATTATTTATCTGGATCTAAGAATAACTGTTTACAATAATTCCTAGGCAGCTGACCAGTAGTTAACTTACTGCAATGTTTACAGAAAGACTAAAAACAATCAAGATGGCAAGCCTGTAAAGGACTAAGTTTGTGGACTTCTGGTTTTGCATCGCGGCAAGACGGACGCAGGATGGCAGAGCTCTGCCTTCCGTGCCTGATTTCGCCCTGCTGGGGGCCCTAAAATGGGCCTAAAGTCACCCCGAAGAGGCGATGAACAAAGAGGGGTGTCTTGTTGATCACGGAGAGATGGCGTTCTTTCCATTTGATCTGAGAAAAACCCTCCACCGGCAGGGGAAAGACGCTACATTCCTGTGGCCAGCCATTAGCTGCTGACAACCAAAGAAGAAAAGCACCAATTAACACATTGTAAACAGCATGTTTGGAACTGCGTGAGAATATTGATCCTTTCTTTACTATTTTACAATTGAATTTCTTGGGAAAGGCTCTCAAAAAGCTAAAAACCTCCAAATATGAACGGAAGCAGCGTTTTAATTTTTATGGGGGACAAAAATACACAATACTGAAATGGAAGTAACATAAAGCTACAGTTTTGATAAATTTGAGAACTGAGATAATTGTTAAGATTTGCTCTTTGGAAAAAAAACATATTGAGGTGAAATGTAAGAAATCAATCCTTTGTCTTAAGAGTGGAAAATGGACTTTAAATGATATCTGGTGGTGGATTTGAGTACAGCACTATAACTAACTTCCTGGCTGCTTTGTGACTCCTAGCTTAAGGGAGAACAGCTGGCAGTAAAGGAAAATATTTTGGCATACTTATCACTTTGACCTTTTGGGACTATAAATACCTACTGATCTTGGACTTTTAATCTCAAGAGCTTGTGGGAGAAAAAGAAAAATTTGAACTTTGAGTACATCTGGCTGGGAGAGATTTTTGAACTGTTTTCAGGGAGGTTGAACATTTTAAACACTTTGAACATTGTGGATTACAATCATGCCTGACTGAGAATTTTTGGATGCCTGAGACAAAGGACCTGTATTCTGGAACCTATTGGATTACAAAGGCTATATATAAAGACCAGAAAACTAGAGGAAACTTTGTTCTACTCTTACTGAAATTGGTGATATTAGAGGATCTCCAGGAATGATGCCTCAAGAAAAAAAACAAAAAGGAAGGAAGGAAATATACTCTATGCTACAACTAATTCACCAAACAATTGTTGCATACAAAGAGGACATTAAAAAATCATAATGAGACTAAAAATAATCTAGATAATATAAATGAGCAAATCTCCAAATTAAATCTACAACTAGAAAGTTCCCAGACAACAACCACAAAGTATGAACAAATAAACCAGAAATCAGAAGATGAAGCAGAGGAAATGGACCTAGAGACGGAAGAGACAAAAGAAGAGAAATATAAACTACCATATACAAATAAAATACTGCAAGACTTACCCATAACAATGAAAATGCAAAAGACCTTTTACCCCTTAAGTCTGCAAAATACGCCTGATGACAAGGAAGAAGATTTTTAAAAAGAGAATATAGAGCTGTCAGGGGAAATGTTACAACTTGGGAGACAAAAAATGAAAAGAGAAATTGAGGGAGAAGGAAAGTGGGAGTTGCTTAAGGAATATAAATAGGCGGAATTCCCCCCCAAAAAATACCCTACCTAAATTGTCTTCCTCATGCCAAGCAATTTTCACAAAAATAGAAAGAAAATTCCTGGGCAATTCAATTGCCTTGGCTTAGAAAGCTACTTGGCAAAAAAAAGAAAGCGAGAGTTAGATTTAAAAAATAGAAGATTTGATCTATTAGAGGGGGCATTATATGTTTAAATACTTGTTTGAATATGATTAAAAGAACGGATGACCCTTAGATATAATTAGGCTTTAGAATGAAAGATATGTTTTAGAATTAAAATAGCATTTTTTTTATATGCGAAATATGAAAATAAGAGGAAGGTGGGTATGAATAATTTTTAGCAATATATAAATGTAATTAATATTGAGAAAATCATAACTGACAAAGATATTTCAACTATTGAAGGGAAATCAAACTTTAACAAGAGCATAAAAAACAGGAGATTGATTTAGGAATTGATATTATTATTTGTATAATATTAGTAAAATATGAAGAAGATGTTTATATCTAACTTTGTATATATCAACAGTACCAATAATTGTAACTGTGTAATGAGGGGAAAATGGAAAAAATATGGGGAAGAAAGGAGGATCGGGGGAAAAATACTGGATTGTGAAGTACGGAATAGATTTATATTGAAGTTAATGTTAAATATGTGAACCCAGACAACATGTTGTTTACTAAGCACTAAAGATTGTAATTCTTAAAAATTAATAAAACATTTTTTAAAGGAATAAGTTTGTGGCCTTGAGGAAAGAGAAGGAAAGATTCTGTCTTGGAAACAATCAGACAAGAAGGGCAGGAGAGTGCAATCACTTTAATGGTTACAGAAAGAATCTGAGGTAGGGCCTGCCCTAATGGATCAGGCAGTTAAAACTGGTGGGAAGTTTGTACTTACAAACTCAATGTCAGCCTCTCCAGGAAAAGAACTAGAGCAGCTCTAGTCCTTTATTGTATGGCTACATTAACAGAATCTTTCTGCCCCTTTTGCCTGATTGTTCCCTAGGCAGCATCTCGCCTTCTTTTTGCTCAAGACCACTAATGCATTCCATTACATGCGATCAAAACTTCGCCCTTTTTTTTGCATTCATTGCAACACAATTAAAAGAGGATAGAGTTTTGTGGCTGTCATCTTCACATTTTTGATTCCCTCCTCCAGAATGCCTATTACATGTTGCTCTTGAAATGTCAATATTAATCTGCAAAAATATTACCAATTTCTTGGCTTGGTACGAGCTTCATAGCTCAAAAATATGTTGGTAGTTTAATACCATAAAAAGTGTATTCATTTTCAAAAGCAGAAAATGTTATTAGTAGTCTAAGAATGTTTCTCTCTTTCTTAGAGAAGCAACAATAACTGAATGAGAGAGTGCTTGAATCTGCAGGATGAAAACTTAATTCAACTCTCACATTGATAAGAAGAGAGTTAAACATCTACTTCTGAGGGAGAAACATTTAGCGACATCTTTGACACTCAGTAGATTTGTATTTGAGCTATGGTGGAACAGTGGTTAGAATGCAATATTTCAGGCTGACTCTGCTGACTGCCAGGAGTTCAATCCAGACTGGCTCAAGGGTGATTCAACCTTCCATCCTTCCGAGGTCAGTAAAATGAGGACCCAGATTGTTGGGGGCAATATGCTGACTCCGTAAACCACTTAGAGAGGGCTGTAAAGCACTATGAAGCGGTATATAAGTCTAAGTGCTATTGCTATTGCTATGAACTATCATCCCCAAACATGCTGACTGGAGAATTCTGGGAGTTGAGGTTCACAAGTCTTAAAGTTGCCCAGTTGGACACCTCTGATTTAAATACTCAAAATTTGCAAATTCTACTTACTTTAGAAATAAGTAGAAGTAAGCCCAATAGCTTAGAGAGTTCTCTACATCCCATTCTGGAAGGTGCTGCACCATCTCAATTGGCTGAATACATCTTCCACGCACAAAAACAGGCAGTTCTTCTGCTCTGACAGAGTAAAGCTACTCTTGTATTACTTCCAAATTTTGGAATGCTTTTACTTCCATTACTGATTCTCACCCTTAATGTTTTGAATGGGATGTAACACAGATCTCTTTAACTCAGTCTTTTATAACCGCCAGCATTCTTTTTCCAATTATAGCCATGGCTCAAACTATTTTAACTGTGAAAATAACTTTTTTTCTAAAACACATTAGATTATGTGAATGAGGTAGCAAGCATAGAAATCATATAATCTGACTTACTCAAGAGTTGCAAAAACTAAAATAATATTGACAGCTAGGATTTAGCAAATTCACTTAGGGTTTTGTGGCAAATTATAAGATGACAAGAAAAAAGTTGCTAAGATTAGTAAAACATACTGACTATTAAGCCTTTATTGTGATCCTCTGCTGTCTAAATTCTGTTAAGTTGCTCACCTTTCAGCTCTAATCTCTCCTGAATATTCAAAATATTTAGCCATCATCAGCTCCAAGATAAAACCCTATAATGAATTCTGTCTGTCAACCAACAAAACAGTGTTTGAAATAACCATTTCATTTGCCTTTGCTCTCACCGGCCTCCTACCTTGAATTGTTCGTTTGAAGAAGGCTTTGCATGCTTCACAAGAGGCCACTCCATAGTGATATCCAGATGCAATGTCCCCACACACTAAACATAGCCTTTTCGGGATGGCATTGAGCATATATTCACATTTAGTGGGTGAATCTTCCATAATAGCACTGGCACAGTCGTCATATCGCTTGCGGCAAGGCCCACCACCAATCCCTGCACTGCCAAACATGGGTGGTGAGTCCAGGCCATTAGAATGGGCACCTATAGCGATGCCATAACCACCACTGGCATCAGATGAGCCACTAGGACTGTGATGGCTAATGGCGTCGATTCCAGAGGATGGACTGGATGGCTCAGTCTTGATGAAAGATCCACAGCTGGAGGTCAAGTGCCGCTCATCCGTGGACATTCTGCCTAGTAGCCTGTGGGTTGCAAGAACAGAAAAGAAACCCATTAGCTGAGGGAAACATCCTACCTAGTTCAGATAGATCCCATTCTGGCTACTGAATAATGCAATCACTACCAGCACTACTTTTCCGATAAAGCCCAGATAACTTGTGTTAAATCTATGGAATGGGGAGCAAAAATGGAATCAGTTACACTTGTAAGTTGAACAGCAATGTATATTAGATTTATAAATAAATACATTTTAAATACAATAAAACTGAGGCACTGAAATTTAATTTAATTTCCTTAGACTTCCTCAACCAATATATAACCAAAATGTAGTTATCCCTCAAAATTTGCAATACTGCAATTTATAGAATGTTCCTCTAAAAACAATATTTGTTAAAAAGAACAATATACAAAATTGAACTGGGAAAAAATGGCTTGAAAAAAATTAATTGTGCTAAATAATAAAAGCATGCTAAATGCACATGAACATTTGTATAAAAAACAATAATAATAATAATAATAATAATAATAATAATAATAATAATAATAATCACAAATTAATATGGAAATATGATAGAAAAATATCCGTAAAACTAAAAGAAAGGAAATTAACAGGTACATTTGACTTTGGCTTTTTGAATGAGGTAAGATAGTTCTAGGGGGAAAAATGCATCCTTAACTATAACACCAAGTTATATATGTGAGTTTATAACCAAGGCATCACATAATTTTTTTTCAGTTTCTTCTCAATGAATCCCTTTCTATGTTTTTACAATACTACAATATGATCCTAGATATTTATTCTTTTCTTCTGTTACATCTTTTTAGAAATACTATACACATATAGCCAGGAAAATAAGCTGGTAAATTTTTAAGGACAGTGCAGACATAGCATCAGATGTGTGGCTTTAGGAAGTGGTTGCATGGGACTTAGACAGTGATGACTTCAACTTTTGCCCATATTCAGCAAACATCCCTGACATCACTGTGGTATATATACTGCAATAAGATTTGAGATTTCTGCTAGCTGCATCCATCTTTGTAAGTTCCATAGGAATCATTTTCTGACTAATTAGCATGATTAGTGCTTTAAGAGCTTCATCCCAATTTTTAAAAGCCAGAGCAATGAATCATCATCACACTAGTCCTGCATGCAGATAATTTTCACGAAATCATATTGGAAAGCCAATCAGAAGCCTCTTTCCAACTTTTTGAAGTTCTGATTATAGTAAGAATGGAAACAAAACAAATGCACAGGTCTTCTCCACAACGGAGGCATACATGCAGTGTTTAGGGACTTATTTTAAAAAGGGGGAAATGATAGAAGATTACAAAATAAAGAATACTGAGGAGAGAATTAATAGGGGAAAGTATACCCCTCCGTTGGAACACTAAAATCCATGCAGTGGTTCACTATATGATGTACACTCAGGGCAGACAAAATTCCATGAGGCTGATACAGAAGACAAGGAAAAGAAGATGATTTCCTCAATTTTGCTGACCTTCCATCACCCTGTCAATTCCATCAGTTGGTTTTATAATAATGTAATTTATCTGTTGATCTTTTTTTCCCCTCTCCCCATCCATTTTTTTCTTTTATGTGAGGTTTTTCAGACTGTAACTTTGTACAGAGGCACTTCTTTCTATTTTTCACTTTTAAAAAATAATTGTCCAGTAAGCCCTTCTAAGAGCCTGTTTCACTGAAGACTGGAATAAAAACGCCATTAAGTAAGGGAATAAAGAAAATGGAAGAACCCATACAAAATGAACCTACTGAATTCATTTTCCTGAAATGCTGTGGTCCCTGGATGAGAGTTTTACGATTTATCAAGAATTATTAGACTAAATATAAATATATAAATAGCTAAATAAAGCCTCCATGTTCAGAAGAAGTATTACTGTAAAAATGGATGCAAGAGACCAATAACAATGGAGACCCTTTGTCTTCTTACAGTGCATCCTGATGCATGATAAATAATCCTTGTAAAGCTCTTACACTTTCATGTCCATCCTGCAAGGTTCATATTCCATATACCCATCATTCTAATAAAACTGCCAGGTTTTTTTTAAAGTGAAACACCATCCCATATTTGCTTTTTTGCTGGACACACGTAAAATGAATGTAAGTATAAGGAAGGCACATAAAATCCAATATCACTCAGTAAGACAAGGATGACAGGTCTTTTTATCAAGGTTACATCCACAACGAAACAGCATTTTCCTTGGGACTGTTTATTTAAGCAAAGATGTTAAATGACAGAGATTTTGATCCGGCTCTCCTAGTAACCGATGAAGGCATCTCCGTAGCTATTTCTGGGATAGGTTTGCAAAATCTAAGCATGACACCTTTCATCCTTCCTTTCTCTTCTTTCTTTCCTTTAATTATTTTCATGGCTGTTCTCTGGATCCCCTCTAAACTGTCTCAGGAACAGGGATGTACCTAGACAAGAATACCGAAACTGAAATACAGATGGATTACTCAGGGGAAAAGAGAGTCTGCTTCCTAAATATGATGTTTGAACTATTACTTATATAGTTGTCCCACCACTTGCTCACTAAGACTCTTATCAGGTTGCATACTGATATCATTTCTATCCCCTCAGATTTCTCTAGCACAGCATATTAGCCACTTTATTCTATTAGCTGTTGCAATACTTCCTGCTACTTTCAAACTCATGGCTACTGGCAGAACGTCTAGGCGGTCCTAAAAGCTTCTTGGGCACAAACGTCTCCTTCCCTAATGCGACAAACACAAGGTGCTCCTGAGACACCCAGGAGAACTCTAGTTGGTTGGGAAATCATGTGACTCCAATGCAGACGCAGTTATGTGCGTGACACTTTGGATTCTAAATGCATCTCTTGTAAAATTCTGCCTCCATCCGGAATTTCCTTCTTCCCCAAGCCCACCTGTATATTTCCATCACTGAGTATTTCCTCTTAAAAGCAGGAAATGTTATCTGTAGGCTTAGTTTACAAAAAGGCAGCAAAAGGATGGATTTACCATTTTAAAAAGTTTAGTACGCAAATGCAGCCTGGAATTTTTTAAAATGAATAAATATAAATGACACATTTTATACTGGCTGTCAGCATTAACTGAAAACACAACCAAATGAGTTAATTCTATTTTATTGTAGGGTTATTGTTGTGTTTTCGGTTCGCGAGCAATTGACGAAGACGCATGGTGAAAACAATAGCTCTTTATTTCTCTCTCCTACAACCAAGCAAACAGCAAAAGGCACGCAGGCCTTTTATAGTGCTTGAAACCCGGATAGTGTGAACCAATAGGAATTTAGCCTTTTCACGCCTTGCACATGCGCACAAGGCTGGCACCACTCTGTCTGGTCCCGGGCAGCTTTTGGGATTGCCCGGGACCATTTGCAACAATTCTGAGCCTGCAGTCAGCTCTTGCAGGCTCAGAACACAACAGTTATATTAACAGAATCTTGCAAGTCCGAGAGTACAATTTTCCTCCCATCTCCTTTACCCCCAAGAAATTAGGGAGGGTCCCTTCTGAGCCTCTTGTTCACCCACTGTCCAGCTAGGGAATATGCTACTTCTTATCTGACCATTCCCTGTGCAGGAATTCTGGACCCAATCTCCCAAAGTCGTATCCATATATCATTACACTGTTTCCGGCAGTTAAGAAATAAAATGCTCTTGATAAGCCTAATCCTCTTACCAAAATACAATTGTATCTTTTAGAATTCTTTGAATCCTGTGTTTATTTTATCTTATCCTACTTCATTTTGGCATATGTTTTATAGCCTACTTCATTTTTTTTAGTTTTAAAAAGTGTCTCTTGTTTTTGTATTTATTCAGCTTGAGTCAAAGGAAAGGAATAGAGAGGGTTACCTAACTTGAGTAATAGTGTATTGCAACATTAGCAACACAAAGTTTCAGTAAACCTTTTAAGAGAACTAATTTGATATATTAAGGCACATACTAGAAACTGAGAGACTTTGAGTTTATTCCCACTTCAGGCATGAAGCCAGCTGTGTGACCTTGAACCAGTCACACTCTCAGTCCTAAAAAGGACACAGTGGCAAACACCTTCTGAAAAGGTGTCTGAAAAACTTGCCAATAAAACTGTAGGGGCCTGCCTGGTCAGTTGACAAGAGCCAAAACAGCATAGATAATATTGTGAGCTAGGTGAGTCAAGACATCTTGGCTCACCTAGCTCACAATATTATCTATGCTGCTCAGTGCAGAAGAGGCAGAGAACTAGCAGAAAAAAATATATGGAAAAAATATAAATAATGCTAGTAATTATTAAGTTATACTCCCATATCTGATTTCTTTTTTAAAAGACCTGTCCTAAATAGATTGAGGATAATAATGGACATTTGTAAATTCCTTTGAGAAAGTAACTAAAAAGCAATAGGCAGGATTAATCGAAAGAAGACTTTCACAGGAAGACGGCATTTGCATCTCTCTGTGCTTATGATGAGATGCATACAGCGGTTTAGAGGGAGGGGATATGATATTAATTGGCAAATTGGATTTGCTTGGAGAGTTCACTAATGAAACACTGGGAAGCTGGCGATTTTAGATCTTCTCATTTTAGCTCCCTCTGGGGATGAGCTGCATAGAAGATGATGAAGTGATTTTGAATCTCTGGGATAATCTTAGTCTTGGATAGCTGGGCATGTGATATTGTGGAATCAATAAATTAGGATTTCCTGTCTCAGGTTGATTCATGGGATGAGTTTTATGGTTTTAGAGTCCAAAGGGAAAACAAAAATGAATTTGCATCCCAAATTAATTAGCGGTATACTCAACTGAGCCATGCACATTGATAGTTTCTAGGTCTAAATATAGTTACTGCAGCTTTTTGATGCTGCAGCTGACAGTGCTAATGAATTAAAGCAGGAATGTAACTTCAAGGGGACTCAGATTGGTTGGACTGATATATTTTGATTTCCAGGTTTACACATTAAAAATAAGACAGCATATTACATATTGGATGTTGAAAAAAAAATCTTAAATAAAATTAAGAACTTTTTCGCCAACTGT